CATTTTGTTCGATAAAATGCCGTGGTGTGCGCTACGGGCGCTACCATCGGCTTAAGGCCAATCCTCGGCCAAACTTCAATTTCCCTCGACCATTAAGGCCTTACTGAACATGAAATAGTATATAATGATCAACTATACCTGACTTACTCGAACAAACATGATTGTACTGAAGGATAACATGATAGGGCATAAGATGGCCCCGTGGGCATGCGCTACGTGCGCTGCCGACTTCCATAGGCCAAATCATGGATAAAACCACAACTTATCTCGACCTATCTTTTTATACTGAACTTATAAGGGCATAACATGATAAAATAAACATGAATTGCACAGGCGTTACCGGGTAAATCATGAACTTACTCGGCCATGACCTCAAACGCCCTATACCGAGCATAACTTGTTATTAACATGAATTTCTTGACATGAGATGAATAAACTGACTTAAACATGATCTAATTAACATGAAAGGATGCTGAACATGAGGTTACCTCGTCAAGTACTCGAAGAATTTCACAAGGTGTGCATGATTTCTCGGCTCCGAGCATGTGCGTGCATGTGTGTTTAATTCGTAATTAAGATGAGCAAAGTGAGTAGCTTATACATGAACTGAATTTCCTCCCCCAAATACTGACTTATAATGAAGGAAAAACGTTGGTGAGGGTTGGGAGAAACTCACGGCCAATGGCCGTGCGCCACTTGCCGTACCGTTAGAGCTCGAGGGTGGCATTGGTGTGCTTACTCACCCTCACTTTGGCTTAGTCATCATCCTAAGCTTGCTACCAGCCTCCCATGTGGCATAAGGTGATGAGGATGCACGAAAATGTGGGGGAAAACTTGACCCTCGGTCATTAGCTTACCATAAGCACGGCTTAGGCGTTAAGAACGTGCTAAGGACGTGCTTACGTGCGGCAATGGCCGTGCTAAGCATGCTTGATACTAAGCTAAACATGATTACTTTTAAACATGATTAACCTTAAATTAATCCTCATTAATGTTAATCAATCATCATTAATATTAAGCTAATCATGATTATCTTTAAGCTAATTACAATTAATTAGCTAAACATGGATTAAATTAATTAAGCAAGGCCTAATGACCATTACTTAATTAATGATGGATGGTGTACCAATGTGAACGCGTCGCTGTATAGGAATGACGACGTTCATATATGGTAACCTTAACCGAACGTACTAGTTTTCGGCTACAACTTGACCTTGGAATTTAATTAGAATAGTCTTGACTTAGGCGATTAATCCGAACATTAATATTTCGAATAGTTCGTCAACTTGGCTTATTAATTCCGAACTCATTAACTGATTCAATGAATCGGAATTAAATCTGAAAACTTATCGACTAATAGTCGAACTTGGAATATGACTGACTGAATCACTTGAACTTGAACATGAACATGATTATTTATTAACAAAGCTAGCTTTAAAATTAAAAGCTAGTATTTTCCTTTATTAATAAAACTCGGGGTATAACAACCCACCCTCCTTAAAATATTTCCGTCCTCGGAAATACTAAAACTGAAATGTACAAGCTTAACATGAAGCTTATACTTATCGCTGACATGACTTGTGGATTCAGTATTAAATATTGAACGTTAAACTTGATCTTAACTGAGAAATCAACAATTCACAATTAGGTGAGTTGATGATTAACACTGACTGAAACGGGACACTTTTATAAGATAAAGTGTTTCACTTATTATACTTGACATTAAAAACATAATTCGTAAATATACTGGTCTTCGTCTCCTAGCTGGTTGTTGCTCTTCGGTCTGAACATCGGTTGTGGAACTCCCGGTCATTAGTATTCCTGGAAAATTTCAGAGATATGCACACGTACAAATGAGGATAACTAGCAATTCTGGCAACTACCTTTCGTGAATGTCTACTCCACACGCGGCACAGCGTTCGCGGCACATTGTAATACGGCATACCTGCTCCTCATCAAGTGAGTGCAGCACACCTGCACACAGCACCTGGCGAACATTGTACCTGCAACGTCGACATAGTCTGTATGGCTGATCATATCTGTATCTCGGCTAGTACCTCAATGTACTATAATGCTAACTCTCTGTGACTTCCCAGTGTACTGTGACTCACATGGTATGGCATCCTGCTCTTCTGGCGTCATACATACTTGAATGGAAAGCTCGGTTGTCATCATGGCATGACCTGTTGCTGTTGATTGGTCTTCTGCGTCGTGTCGTATATGGACAGGTTGTACCTGCAACTGTTTACCTTTCCTGAGGTTAAACATAACCTCAAGAAAAGTTTATCATAAACTGATCCTTCCTACGAGTTCTCAAATTATCAACATTTGAGAATCGAGGCACTGGACATACTTGAAATGACTAATAAGTCTTGTCTTATTAGACAGACTATCCTTGACTTGACATGACTAGCCTGAGCATTCACATAACTGAACATCCAGGACTTGACTTTTACATGACTGAATCATTCTTTATCTGAACACTAAAAACTATCTCGAGACAATTAAAATAATCATCTCGAAATTTGGAACATGACGTTTACTGACTTACTTGACTTGATAAGGTGCGACTTCAAGTTTCCAGGTAAAACTAGACTAATAGTCTGTATTACAGACCTCCATTTTAACCCGGCTGAACAACTATTATACGTCGACCTTAATACATGAACATTAACTTTAAATCGTGAACATTGACTCATGATTGTGTACTGTATAGGGTTGCTCCAGTATCAACTGGCCCCGCAAGTACTGAATAAACAACTGACCTTGAACTTTGTCAACTAAACTCAGAGTATCTAACTGGTAAGACACCCGACTTAGCTGATTCTAAAGGTTGTTACTTTCTGAAACTGTACTGCTCCGGTCTCAGCTTCAAGCCTCCATGGTATACCCGGCTTAATGGCTCTTATTTCAAGCCTCCATAATAACCCAGACTTTTGGCTCTTATACACTGAAAACTGTTACCTTGACAATGACTTGAAAAAATTTAACAACCTTTAACATGAAAAATCTCGCCTTGAACTTGATTTACTGACTTGACATAGGAAATTTGAACATATTCCCTGGTCTAACTCAAGGAATTCTTTCTTAGAATGTGCCAGCTGGTTGGCAAAATGGACAATTTTCGATAGAAAATGCCCGAGGAACATGATTGCTAAGATTTGTATAACATA